AGCCTATCCTGAAAATTCCAAATTAATTCAGGAGTTAAAGACTCAATCCTTCACATTACCTATTTCTTGGAATAATGCACTTAAATTTCTAAATAAAAGCATAACAGTGGAGGCATGATTTTCTACAGAGTATCGCAAGTCAAAAATAGAAAACATTACATCTGTAGCTCACGGTGCACATCGATATATATATTTTTTTTAAAATAAAAAATGGCAGTGCCATTGACCCTCTTCTTTATTTAATATAATTTGTTGCCAGAACAATATACAAATAAAAAAAAATATATCACTGTTACAAGTGCGAATACGAATAAAAAAATAACTCATTATCCCTACCATTACAGATTTACAATAAAGACTGTCCTTTCAAATTCTTCAGGTTCAAAATTTTCAGCAAACCTTCCTCCCAGTTGTATATATCGAATACTAGCAATACGATTGACAGTAATATTTAAGTCCTCCTCAATTTTACTTTTAACCTTTTCGAACGAGTCTTTCCACTTAATTTCCACCGTGTTTGTAGCAATTGGATCAAAACTGACTCTAAACTTTGGTTTAAAATTATCAGGAACTTCAGTGGCCATTTTTTTTTCGTTTCCTAAAAATAAAAAATCATAATGAATAAGGTTTCGCCCCAGTAGTCATCCTAGAAAACAATCGTAGATCGAAACCCTCTATATAAAACAAATACATACGTAAGAAATAAATTGCAAGTGAGTTAAGTAAAAAAAATTATATATGAGCAAAAAATAACGCTATTGCTAACTTATCTTACAGGTGGAAACATGCTTATTTTTATACTTCACATTCATTAGATCTAGAGAACCTGTCAGAAGAAAAATTACAAACTTAGTAATTACATTACTCTTATATAATGCCAGATCACACTTAACAAAGCAGTCATAAGTTCCGTATGCTGAAACTATTTTGTTATTTTTTCTGGTAAAATTAACCCTCCTTAGATTCGATGATCTCTCCTGCGAAGTAAAAAAGTCAACGATCTCGACGATCTGGGAATTCCAAGTCTCCCATGACATATAAATTTGGATAAAACTACTGATAAGGAACGTTATACTTATTACCCTTATAGCCTTTTTAAGCCCCATTTTTATCGCAGGATCGTATAGATCTAGACATTATTCGCAATATTCGTTATTAATAAAAATTAATCGTGGGAATTAATCCTGCAGGAGAGTGACACAAGCCAATTCCTAATTTTATGCAACTTATAATATTGTAACACAATAAAAAGATTTTTAAATTATTCTCACTACATACGTATATTAAAAGGTCATAAACTACTGTTAAGCCACTGTCTCTTGGAAAGAGGATACTCTGCATCTGAAATACTGTTGGCTTTTTGTTAATAAACACATATAAAATTGTCTAAGCCACTGTCTCTTGGAAAGAGGATGCTCTGCATCTGAAGTACGTGTTTGTGCATCTATCCATTCTACCATTTTCAACCCGAGTTCAACCCGTGTTCAACCCTAGTTCAACCCATATTTATATTTTATTATATATTCATTATGAGAATGAATAACCAAACTTTAACCAGAGTTCATACCATTTTCTATTTTGTGTCACTCAAAAAAATCATTATAACCAAACTCAAATTGGTATTATATCCGAAATTTTGTATAATTAACTGACTTCGTATGCCTTGGATTTGTATATCTTGGATTTGTTTATCGCGACCGGGATGATCTCAAATAGTGGGTGTCGTACATTCCTATTGCCAGAAAATTAAATCATATGCTTGTAATACCCGAAATAGATCTCTCAAACTTGTTTTATCTAAAGCAGTAAAGTTATTGCAAACCCATCCCAAATTTGTAGATCTGGGCTGGCTTAATATAGCGTGTAAAATTATCATCGTACCCACCTGCTCAACAAGTTATTAACGATCTAATCCCAATATAGAAAACGTGCGATTGTTGATTGATTTATCGTGTGCAATAATTGTTTGTTAGTAATTATTCGACAGTGTCTTATGGCTTGGATATACAAATATTTATGGCTTACCAGGTAATTTGCCCCTTAAAAACAAACATACAATTATATAAAAAAAGAATAATCGAGATCTTCTTACACTAGATTGTTTTGTGTTAATAAGACAATTGCTGGAGCTATTTGTACGGGTATGCTTAGTCATACAAAAAATTTCATTTTTATTAAGCAATAGGACCTCTGACTTAATATATTTAATCGATATTCATTTATTACAATACCTCTTGCAAAAATTGAATCCGGAATTAAGGAAGTATTAAGTTAATAAAATCTAATAGATCTAAATCTCTAAATTTGATATAAATCATATAATCTTTAAAAAAACTATATATAATACGTTAAATCACTTAATCGTTAAATATGGTCTATACAGATAAATGTTCAGTTTTGAGAGATATTGAATGGAGAGATAACTGTCGATTTTTAGTAATCCACAAAGATGAAACACCATCTGATTGGAAGACCCGAATCTGGGATCAGTTGACTAATTATAAGAATAATAATCGTTTAACTGATGATAAAAAGCGATATCTTATCATCAGAAAAATGAAATATTTATGGAAAGATGATCTTAGCCATGCTGTAGGCGTAAGTATAGCAATATGTTATTCGTGCAATGAACTAGTTTACTCTAAAATAGGACGTGAGTATGAGTATAGATTTCATCATTTTATGAATGAGCATTGGAGTACAAATTGCACAGGAAATGCTTATTGTGATATTAGTTATAAAGACTATATGGAACTTAAAAGCAAATCCGAAGTTAGCAACTTCTACTTCGAAAAAGAAGCAATTCATCGTTATGAATTGTGGATGCAAAATGCTATCAGAAGAGTTAAACGTGCAAGAG